ACCCACACACCCAGTGCTGCCACGGGGCTGTGCAGGTGGCCCATCAGGCTGTGCRTCTGGCCTGCCTGCACGCTGGTCACCACTGTGTGAAAGCCACCGCGGGCAGGAGCATGGCCGGGGGCCAAGAGCTGCCCGCGAGGACCCGGGCATGTGTCTGGGACCCCATGCCTGGGAGGGCGGGCAGGGGACACACAAGTAGGAGGACAGCAGCAGAGGGGAGGGCTTCCCAGGGTTGGCTCRAGTGCCCAGCTCCTCAGGGCGGCAGGCCTCCTCCCTCCTGGAGACTGTCGCTTGCTGCCGCCTGGACAGAGGAAGCCGCTCCCTCTGACCTTGAAGTGTCCTTGTGCACAGCTGTCCTTGCTGTCCCTGGGTGCCGCTCTGAGGCAGGCGCAGCTGGCCACGCCGCTGTGCGGCTTGGTGCACCACGTTGGTGGGCAGGCGGCTCCCAGCGCCCTCTGACCTGAGYGGGTGCCCCGCTCGCCCTGGGGCAGGACCGGGCAGGGCTGGTGCCCACAGAGCTGTGTTGGCACAGGGACGCGGGCCTCGCCTCTGAGGTCTGGTGAGCCGGGAGGGCGCTGTGTGGCTGGTCTCTTCCTCGGAGCTCCAAGTCGCAGGACCACCCTGCGCTGTAGAAAGAGGAGGAGGAAGACGGGGCCTGTGTGCGACCCCCGAGCACCACCTGGCTGTGAGCGAGCACCACGTGGCTGTGAGCGAGCACCACGTGGCTGTGAGCGTGTCCGGTTCCCGTCTAGTAGACCTAAAGGCCTGCTCTTCCCCTGGACGTTCTGAGAGGAGTCGAGGGAAACCTTCATCTGTCCGTTTTCTGTGGCCCAAGTGGACACTGTAGCAGGGCCACATTCCTGTACCTTAAGGGATCAGAAACTGGGGGTAGCCCGGGGGGTTCTGGAGGCCAGGGAGCCCAAGACTCCCCCGGGATCTCTGTGCATTCTGCAAACAGCCCTGCATGGAAAGAATGTTCCAGAATGATTCCTGCACTGTCCCGTGCCATCACGGGACCTCCTGGGCGGCTCTCAGGGGCACAGCCTTGGGGTGCAGCCAGTCACGGAAGCGGGTCTCCCCCTGTGCAGCTCTGCGGGGAGCAAGCTGGCCAGGCGCGGGCCTCCCCCCACCTGGCTTCCTCTTCTGCAGCTCCACGTGCCGGGTGCAGAAAGCACCTCCGCCACGGCCCGGGGCTCCTCGCTGTCCCCACGTGAAACACCCCGCGCAGCCTCGGCCTTTCTCCCGTCTCCCTCCAGACCGGCCGCCAGGGCGTCCGTCACACCAGGGCCTCCACGCCACGGGCCAGGCAAGCGCCCCACCACTCACCATGACCGCAGCCCAGACGGGCGTGCCTCACCAGCTCACAGGGGCCGCCCGCTCACTTGCAGCTGTTGGTGGGGAGGCTCCGTGCGGAGGCCAGGGTGTGTGGACCTCCGTGGCCTTGAGGCTGGCCTTGGGGTTGGGGTCCTCTTGCCCCTGCCTCCCGGGTGCTGGGATGACGGCGTGCACCCTGCACCCAGCTGGGATGTGTAGCTCTCTAAGACCAAGGCTCAAGAGCCTCTTCAGTCCCGTGGAGCCCGTGAGCAGACCAGGGAGGGAGCGGGACCCAGAGGCCACCCGGACCTCGGCGTCTTCAGAGAAGCCAGGTGGGCGCTCCCGGTGATCCACGAGCCGCCCTCCCTCCCTGCCCTGGGAGACGTCCTCCTCCTAGATTAAATCCCGCAGCCCCAGCTTGATTAACTCTGCGCCTCTCCTGCAGCTGGGCACCCGTAGGGACAGAACATGGCTCCTGGGGACCTGGATGCTGTGCAGAGTCCTCTCCAGGTGACTGTGACCCAGCGCTCCCCTGTGACCTCGCCTGGGCTCTGCTCCCTCCCCCCCCAGCAGAGGAGAGGGGAGGGCGGCCTTGGCTGCTGCCCGCCCTGCAGCCTGTCCGCCTGTGCCTCCGCCACCTGAGTGCGTGACAGGCTTCACAGACGCCTGGTGGCCTGGCTCTGAGAAGGGGCAGTGGACGCCAGGCCCCGCCTCGTGTCGGCCCCAGCTGCAGAGGAAGCTGTCCTTGGGTTGTCCAAGGATGTCCAGTGGGGGCTCCCAAACCAGCCCTGGCCCCAGCAGAGCCAGGTGCAGCCCGCAGGCCCACGCACATCGGGTGCCTCTCCAAGGGGCGGGCCCACGCACATCCGGGTGCCTCTCCAAGGGGCGGGCCCACGCACATCCGGGTGCCTCACAAGGGGCCGTGACCTGCGGAGCCGAGAGGGCGGCTTCCTGGGGAAGAGGGCCTTGGGGAGCCGGCGGCCCAGCCCCACCCCTGCACCCAGCGCCTGTCCTGGCTCATGGGTGAGCGGGCCTGTAGGGCCCAGGCAGGTGGCAGGTGCTCCCGCCTCCCCTGCCCAGGCCACCTCCACAGAGACGTCCCCCAGGTCCTCAGAGAGGAAGGCCATCTCGTCCCCCAGGTCCACCTCCTGCTGGGAGTGGCCGCAGTGCCTTTGCTTACAGGGAGCASATTCTTCCCCCAGGTGCCAGAAGGACAGGTGCCCAGTTCACGGAAAGAGTGCATCTAAGGTCAGGGTCGCGCGGGGGGAAGGACAGGCTGGTCCCCGTGGGTGGCCCGTGCCAGGTTCACCAGGGTCCTCTACCTGCATCACAACCACCCGCCCTGGAGGGGGGCCGCTGCCCCCGGCCTGAGCTGGGAGGTGCCCTCCAGCGGCCTGCCCTCTGGTTCTCGCGGAGTCCCTGGGCCCATGGGGACTGACCGTGCACAGGGGCGGGTTTCCGTGGCCCTGAGTCCTGTGGGCTCTCCTGTCCCCTTCCTATTCTGACTCAGACGTGCCTGGCTCCACCCGTGTCTCGGGGCTCCTTCCCCTTCTCCACCTCTCTGGGCAGTCCCGCAGGACACGGTGGACAGCCCTTATCTGACAGGCCGGGGACACAGTGGCTCTGCTTTCTAATTCTGGAGTATTTGCCTGCACCTGATGGGTGCCTTGGGGTGAGGCTCCGTCTAAACCAGGACTCACAGGACTCACTCATGCCCCTTGTCCACGTGACCTCCGGCCCTTCTGGGCCAGSCTTCCAGTGAGTTCCGTGGGTGGGTTTCCAGGACTGTGAGATCTCGGAGCATCTTGGATTCTCGGGTTGGAGATGCTGCGTGGGTATTTCAGCTGCCGGTGCCTTGTTTAGATCATTCTAGAATCAGGAGGGACCAGTGATGAGCTGAGCGCAGGAAACTGCTGTCAGGTGACGGAGACGTCTCTGGAGTCCACCTGGAATGGCCCCTCTCCCGGGCCCTCCTCCCTCTGACCTCACTGCGGCTGTGCAGAGAGCTCTGAGCTGGGAGGGGTCTTGGCCCCCTCACTCCAGACCCGGCTGCATGCGGGGGACCTGCTGCTGGTGGCCGCCACAGCCTCCTTCCTCAGCCACTGTCCAGTGCTGAGCCACCAGATTGCAGCAGGTCCCCTGCCGTGCTCCAGGGAGCAGCCACGCGCAGACACACGGGGAGGCTGCCCTGTGACCTGGCCAAGCGCTGTCACCCCGGGGCATGGGCCAGGTGTTCCTGCGCCCCACCCCTCGTCCTGTGGGCCGACTGCACACCCTCCCAGGTCCCCTGAGGACACGGTGTCTGTCCCGCCCCGTCATGGGACACGTCTGTGCCTGTGCGCTCTGGCTGAGTGCATTAGAGTACACCACCTGTGACTTTAAAAAGGCTGGGACAGGGCCAGGCAGAGGCAGGCAGGGAACCAGGACAGCACGCCTGGGTGGTCCCAGGTGGCTCCTCTCCTGGCCCTCGCCCATCGGCAGGCCTGTGGCCAGCCCAGGACCTTCCATCCCCCCACCCCCCCACCCCCTGGTGCACCCCGACCCTGGCAGTGCTCTCAGGGAGGGACTCCTCATTCCTGTGGGCAGTGAGTGGCTAATGGGCTGGGGAAGGGCGGGCGGGCCAGCAGTCCATGTGCCGCTACGGTGGGCTGCAGCTCACCCGGGGCTCACAGGAGGGTGCAGAAAGAGGGACCCACCTCCGCAGCCCGGGAGCGGGCTCCGAGGAGAAGGGGAGATGCAGGGGAGCCCCCTGAGCACCCGGGCCGTGGGGCGTCTCTCCCCCCCCCCCCCCCCCCCCC